TGCAAAGTGCAATCTGAAACACAATTAGACGAATTTGCAGTTTAGTTTTATGCATTATTTGATTTGAATTAATTTTTTTGGTTAACGTTTTTTCGGTGAGTTAGTTTTCTACGGGACTGGGTTGCTAAGCCTATGCCCTTCGCCAACCCTCCTCCTTACCCGGGCTTGGGACTGGCAGTAACCCTGGAAGAGTTACAGGCGGAGTTCCTGAGAAGATTGTCAACATTACCCGGAACTCATACGACGGATTACAGTGCAAAGTGGTGCATGGAGGACAGCTGACAGATGCATTCCAAGTGCGGACCGGAGTCAGACAAGACTGCCTACTCTCTCCCTTCCTCTTTCTTCTGGTAGTCGACTGGATTATGAAGACCTCGACATCTAAGGGGAAACACGGAATACAATGGACAGCTCGGAACCAACTAGACGATTCGGACTTCACTGATGTCCTGGCCCTCCTATCCCATACATACTAACAAATACAGATGAAGACAACTAGGGTAGCAGCAGCCTCTGAATCAACGAGCCTCAAAATACACAAAAGAAAAACCAAGATCCTCAAATACAACACCGAGAACACCAACCCAATCACACTTGATGGCGAAACTCTGGAAGAGTTGGACAGTTTTACCTACCTGGGAAACATCATCTATGAACAAGGAGGTTCAGATGCAAACGTAAAGGCAAGGATTGGCAAAGCAAGGGCCGGATTCCTATAATTGAAGAACATATGGAACTCAAAACAACTTTCAACCAATATCAAAGTCAGAATCTTCAATACGAACATCAAGGCAGTTCTACTGTACAGAGCTAAAACTTGAAGAACTACTACAACCATAATCAAACATGTACAAGTATTTATAAATAGTTGTCTACCCAGGATACTCAACATCTATTGGCCGGATACCATCAGCAACAGCCTTCTGTGGGAGAGAACAAACCAACTTCCAGCTGTAGAAGAAATTAGGAAAAGACGATGGAAACGGATAGGACATACATTATGCAAATCATCAAACTGCATCACGATGCAAGAAAATATCCAACGATAATCGAATAAAGGATATTTCTCATAGTTCAATTTTACTTCATCAGCTAACTATGATGTCAATAGAATTTCATTCCTGATACTAAACAGTTAGGAAGAAAAACATGATTTCTTTGAAACACATTTCCTTCGATTACTCATGGAGATACCAAACAGAATATAAAGCATAGATATGACTGTTTAGTGGCTGTGTAGTGAACAGAACACGGGTGGGAATAATCATATGTTCTAATCACAAATTTACAGAGCATCTCAATAAAATCTGAGAACCAGATATTAAATCGTTAATTTGCAAAATGTCCACCAATTGTCTCAAAATGCCTCAGACTTCATTGTCTTTGCATTTTCATACAAAGTGCATTCTATTCCCACACTCGCTTTCTTGATCTTTCCCCATCTTCTGCTGCCAGACATTACATTCCTGCGTCGCGTCATATACTACTTATATCAATATAAGTAGCACGCACCACAGCTGCAGCATCAAATAATAACCGAACAGCTAATCTTGGAGATCGTGAGTTGCATTACCAAATCTTGTATTCCACAAACGTGATATTACTGAATGACTTAGACACACAAGTCCTACAGCACGTACGTTACCTCAATAAACTATTGAACTGACCAATCAGTTAGCTTAACAATTAAAACCATGCAATGATAAATGACTGTATAAATGCTGTCTAAAATAATACGTAAGTTATACTACTAGATTCGATTGTGATTGACTGTCTGCTTTGTTATTAAAATTATTATCTCGCTGTGTTATAATTCTGAGAGACTATTAATTGTAGTTGAAAGGTAATAATTTAAAATGAAACTCCCAGATGGATCCAATATTATGGGGCGCAAATCGAACCTTGACGCGTATTGTTCATAAACATAATTAGGAAATCGTGAAATGAAACAGATTTCCAACTCTCAGATAATAAGAAGTAGACATTCAAATTTATGAGATTTCACCAAAACACATCATTACATTTATTCGGGAGAAATTTCCACAACTAAAATAAGACGTCAGGTTGGTTTTGAGACCCGCACTGTGATCCATCAGCTTCATAACCCCAGAAGTCATTTTTAAGTTACTCATCCTTGTATTCATAACGCTTATGATAATTGTGTCCATTCTTAATTATTTACACTAAACGGTACCACAACCGCACTAAAACATCGACAGCTTTTAAAGATTTTGATAAGTATTTTAGAAGGTAAAGTCAGTATTCTGGATTAAGGGAGTAAGCCAAACTATGAAGTTGTAAGCCTACATCAAATGAAGTAATTCGGATATGCGTTATGCACATTGTGTGACAGTCCGTTTTAGCCACTTAGGCTGTTTGAATTTGTGGGTCTATGAACGTGATCAAATGCAGGGATGGTCTGAAAAGTTACGAAGACTTAATCGAAGCCATGTAGCGGTCCCATTTATCAGTCTAACGTGTAGAGATTGTGAAGATTGTAATTTGCGAATTCAGAGTCCCATTTCCATAGTCTATTGAATGCCTGATCCCTCATAATCTTCTACCTTTCTATTATCTTAATTTATATTTATCTACTTGAACCTAGGTTTCGTGCTACTTGACACTCGTCAGCAAGGTGTTCCCGTAATCTTGAGGGCACTGATGCTCCCCGACAGATGTGACCCCGTGTCACCCAGCTTCACAGTCAGAGAGCATCAATTCCCTCAAGATCACAGGTACACCTTGCTGATGAGTGCCATGTAACACGAAACCTAGGTCCAGGGTTTCCTGTCGACTACCTCCAACTACCATCTTATCTCAATACAGTGCACGCAATGTCGAGTCAATTAGTCTAGTAGCCACATTGCAGCTTGGTCGAAATGATTCGATCAGCACTAAGAAGTATCTGACGTACATGACATTGATCACCATCTAGTGATAAATCAATTGTAAATTATATTTGTTTATTTTTTTCTCATTGGTATTCCTCTTTTCTCGTCTATTTTAATACCTCCTCATTTTGTCAGTTTCACGTTTTGATAGAGTTCGCACACTCACGTCACATAATAGTAATTTTGATAATATTTATGATGTTGACTAACATAATGCATTAGACTGTAGCGCAAAGTGTCACGTTACGGAGCCTATGATTTGGATTGAGATCCAACTGAATTGTCAAGTCTAGAAAATCTAGCGTTGTATAATATGGTCGTTCGGATTGAAAGTCAAAGTTTCCTAGGAAGCTTCAGAGTCCTTTATTCATATAACTGGTGGAAAAGCAGGTCCAATCTGTGAAGTATTTACTCATGATGAATAATGAGTAGTGTTCAGTGTCTGATAAATATTTGACTGAACACTCTCAATTTTCACGTATAAAAGAAACAAATAGTCAATCTACTTACCAATGGCATGAAAAAGAATTGACAAAAGAATCCAACAGATATAGAAACGGGTCTTTTAAAATGATACAAAATCACAGAGGGTTCCAAATCACACCCCATCGCAAAAGTGAACACAATTAGCATGACCATGATGAATATACGGTAAACTCGATAACCGATCCCTCTGTCTATTGTTACAATGACTGGAAAAGCTAATATGTTGTTCTCATTGACATCATCAACTTCCTGTGTATTCAGTAAGGAGAGATTCAACTGATGGTGAGTTGCTAAATCATCATAATATTTATTTCTGAGAGATTCGGATTTATTAGTAAGCCATGAAGTAGAAGTGTTGTATCCAGATTTCGGCCTATCCACACTAATCAAAAACATCAAATAGTCTAACCCCAGCAGTTTTGGCAATATGTACAGTGATATATTTGTACTGGTTTCTGATGAAGGCGGTAACCAATACCTCGATTTATTAACTAACTCCACAGAATAACTGGAATCTAGATCATAGGATAAAACTAAAGGTACTTGACTGCTGTAGTTGATGAAACACATAACAGGTTTGATTTTATAATCATCGAAAAATACCAAATCGCGTTTTGATATACTGATGACTACATGAATAAAGTTTGTCACATCATGATAATCATAACTGTACATTGGAGAGCTCTGATTTCCTCCAATGTGTTTCCGATAGTATTGTTCCCGTGTGCGCCGAGTTTCTTCATCATATATCAACCCAACCTGTTGTGGAGGTGTCTCTTTGACTGGCGAAGAATATGACAGTAATATATTGGCATTAATCAACAGGTTAAGGAACGCTAGCCAAGAAAACATAAACATAGTGCACAGAATAAGCGAATGGATAACCAGACTTTATATCTGAGAGCACAACTAGTCCACAATGATTTGTCAAACATGTTATTTCAAAGTCATAAGATTAATCCATTGTTATTTTAGAATTAGATTGGTTTAAATTGTATGAGTGACATGCTAGTGAAAACATGCAACAACGTTTTGTGCGACTTTATCAATTAGTTTATTTGTCACGTCGAGAAGATAATATTTAGTGAGCTAACAATAAAACAATTGTGGTTCAATTTCGTTGCTCCAAACCAATTAATTTTGAGAAAATAACCATAATTAAACGAAAAACCTAAATGAAAACTAGTGAATGATTTGTATCATGTCAAAATAAACTTTCAATGAATCAAAGTGTACAAATTTGGTCGATTATGTCAACTAGTTGATTGGTTGTATATCATTTGTGTTGCGATCAGATTCGTTAAAATCCACTTGGTTTTGATTGGATGTTTGAATTCGTGATTCTTGCATCAGGAACTCATTTGATCAAAATATATACATTAGTCGGTTCGATTGTTTCGAAGCGAAAAATGTTTACGTGAGGAGTAAAAAGTTTGAACCAGTGGTCATAGTGGTACGACTGATAAAGTAAATCGAATGTTATGAATCTGGTAACCAATAAAATGTTGGAAACGATACCCAGTTATTATTGTTAATATTGTTCTTATTATACTACTAGTCCTTCTTCTTCTTCTTCTTAATATTGTTATTATTATTATTATTATTATTATTATTAACCATCAGGTGGACTACCATCTAAATATTCTAACGGTATGGGAGAGTTGTAATGGCTGTAGAATTTTCATAGTTTAATTCACGAATTGACCTTAGTTAGACCACTTTTGAAAATCTGGGAGAACCAGAATATTGTTTCCTCCTGGTGTGAGGCTCCACAGGATTACGTATGTCAACGACCCTGAATCACAGAATCGAATGCAAAACATTTAATCTCACGCTAACGTTTAACTTCTAGACCACTGAACCAGAATCTAACAGTGCCAATGTCTAATTTAAATCAATCACGATGTTGCACGATCATCTTCCATTGTCTTCGGTAAGTAACTGCCTCACAATCGACAGTTTAGTCCTACTCGTCCGAACATGTAGCCATGTTTCAGATAAACATGCATGGACGTCACAATTCCTGATAAACTGAATGAAATCCAACGAATTAAAATTGAGATCGGTCTCCAACCAGGTAGCTCATTTGACGAATTACCAAAGATAAATTGTTGCTTTGATCCATCTAAATCTGCTTTTCTCAGTTCACTTGTTCGTATAGAGCAGGCTTTATTGGACACTCAGAGTGTGAATTTACCAAACGGTTGTCCGAGCACTGCCCCACATAGCTATCGAAAGGCTAATACAAGTCAGTCAATCTTTAAACATATAATCAACTTGTCAACATGCACCCATGACAATCATCCTTCAAGATTGTTTTAAACGTGAACAGAACCGTTTGAAATGAGGTATGGGCCGGAAATTCGTGTGCTGCTAAACCTATCACGATTCATCAATTCCAACCTGACCTCTGTGCACCAAAGATTTGTTGTCAATCTTTTACCCTACCATGGTCCTAGAACCCATTCTAATTTTACAGATCATTAGTGTCAATCATTAACTCCTTCTTCATTCTTATATATTCGTACAATAGACAACTGTGTTTTACATTTTCTCAATAAATTATTATTTCTTATAATCTCGAAGACTATTTCAACTTACATCCAATACCTAAAGCTGACGATTTTTTCTGATTACTTGGTCAAATGGTTCAACAAGTCTGTTTTATCATAGACTATTATTTTTGTTACTTGAAAACGATTGATAATTTTTAATTACTTCATTATATGACGCAACACACCTCTATTATATTATAGACTAATTAATAATACAATTATGTCGTTTAAGCAAGTGACTTAATCGAAAACAAAATTATCATCATATTGCTGAATGACACAACAGGTTTTTTCTTCATTTTTGTAAAAGGTTGTGTTAATCTTATTCAAATAGGAACAGTTGTTTTTTTTTATCAAAACCGATAGGCAAAGGTCACATGCACGTAGTAATTTGAGAATGTACAATAAATAGATCAGTTTGCATGTAAAGATTACGAATCACATGCAACGTGATTCTTCATCAAACACTTATAAATGGTACTAAAAATTTTAATTTGTACATTAGATTTTTACTGTATTGATCAGTGAAATTATGCGTTCACATTATTGTAAACTTAGTTCCGGCAACTAATGTATTTCGATACTCAGTATTCGTAGTGTTTTCGTGCACAGAGAAAGAAAACGACAAATGAAATATCAAATGGAATAAAATATCATATTTGTTGAACCACTAGTAGGTCTGTTTCCGGTTTTCTGAAGACACATCTGGAAACATAACCAATTGTATCGCTTTTCCGTGCTGAATAAATTTTTACAGTTTTGGTTGTTTATTATGCACCAGGACTACTGTTTTCACTTCAACTGGACTATTTTCAATTAGGGTACGAAAAAGTGTTTTCGTTTCCTTACTCTATTTGGGTATAATAGTTTTGGTTTTCGCACGCATTTTTTATTTTAACCGGCCACTGTCTGGATTTGTTCTCTTACCCAATGTTTTTGGCCAAGAGTTTCTGCCTTACAGATGCTCTTCCAAATTATCTGAAGATGCCTGACCGTGGAAGAGGTAATTGTCAACACTGATTGGATAATTGTGTGTAGTTTGGTGGGTGCAACATGTGAAACCACGACGTTCATATCAACCTAACACCATCAGATTTTAAGAAGTATATTTATCTGTACTACCAAGACGTAAAGAGAGTGATGCATTTTCATCTAAGCAGCACTTTGTGTCTATCGAATAAAGTCAATAAAGTGTCTTCTGTAATGATTTCCGATGGAGAACTTTATCTTAACAACCTTTGTCAATGCAATATAACAATTCCCCTACCTGATATTAACGTATCATTTTAACGATGTCAGTTGTATTTCGCAGGTACGTCGACTGGATGAGTTCCCTTGCATATTGATCACTGACTATCATAATAAATTTCAATAACGTGACTCATACCAGGATAGTTAATAAATAAACAGTGAGACAAAGAAAAACGATGTATTACACTTGATAATTGCATATACAATTTTATGTAAATTGAAATCTTGACAAGTATTCCGTCTATTTAATACCACTTGTGTTTAGCATAATACATCAACCTAAGTAAATGTTTATTCATCATTTCCATACGGAACAGTTAATGGGTGATTTTGAAAAGGATGAAATGTCAAGAAGTATGTTCACATGTTTACAGCTTTGACTATATAGTATTCAGATTTAATCAAGCAGTTATGGTAATCGAGACTGAAGAAGTATATGTGTGAGGTGATAACTGTTTAAATATCTGTTTGGATTAAGTGAAAAATTATAAGTAGGTCAGTCGTTGTAAAATGAAATCAAACACTGACCGTCACAGTTAGATGCAAAAGTATGGTCAGCATTATGGGTTAAGCTAACGTTATATTCGCAACTCTCACAGTCCTGTAAACTAGCTTAAAGCTGAACAAAAACATTAGCGTTTTATATGAAACTATTATGATGGGAAGATTTCAATACTGCGAATATTGTCACTGTACCGCCAACGATTAAGTATTGTTTTTCATCTAGAACGGCTGATTCCAACTAAGGATTGCTCCAAAATCAAGTGAAAGTTGGTAAAGAATGAAAATCAAATCTATGATGAATGTTTAACGAAAGTTTATTTGTCCAGCATTTTCTATTCGAATACTTCCTTACATTTCACTACATGTTTTAAACTTATTTCTATAATTTGAATGATTGTTACATGATGAATAAATCACATTGTCACAGTTAAACTGACTGTCACAACAAGGACTCGTACAAAATGTATGATGACCCCAAAAATGGAGAGTGAAAAAAGTGGTACTCAAATGGGAGGACATCAATAGAGAGGAGCATCACAAGTGCAATTACACTAGTATAACAGCTGATTATACATAATAAATCATAAGCAAGTTTCAAAGTTTCACTGGTATGGTAACATGTATACTCAGTGATTTTTGTAACGACAAAATAAAAACAACTTTTTTCTCTAATTTGTCACACTTTATATGTAACCGCATGTATATTCAATATCTATTGTTTCTCTGTATCAGTAATAAAAAAAAGGATATAATTGTTTGATTCTATACAATTACTGTTATACTATCACGTTGGTTGAAATATAAACACTATCTCCGCCGTTTATTCTTCAGCTTTATTGGCCACGGCCTTTGACTGAAGATAATAATAGTGTCATTACATCCTCTCAGGCCTTCCCACATCACGTTATATTTTCGGCCCTGATCATTATTAAATAATACTATTGAATTCAATATTTCTCATTATGCCGTTGGTGCCACCACGTGCAGAGGGATCTTCGTTAATCAAGTGGACTCATTTGTGGTTGTTATCTCAGAGAGCACCTTACAAGTAACATCCATTTCATAACAACTGTTACTATCTTGTTGTTTAATATACCATTTATATTGTAACTGTAATTTGTTAGCATTTGCTCTACTCATAGACAGACACTTAAAGTTGTAGTGTTAAATCCTTTTGGTATATTATTGGTAATCTTATGTATCGTTATATCTTGAATAAGCTCTTTTGCTGAGATCCACCACACTGATCAGTAATTACTAAGAATAGTAAAGATAGCTAGCACATGCGATCACTATAAGCTAGGAAAATGGAGAATAATCTAATAATTTAACAGAATTTCTTAACCGTTCATGCTGCATGCAGGCAATACCCGATGTGCAATGCTTAAAATTTCGTTGCAACACAACGTGTAGCTACTACAAATTCAGCATAATAATTAAACAGATTGATGAATCTGTTAGTTTAAGTGTAGAGATTGTTCCACATGCAAAGATAAAATCACAACAGTCAACTTGACTATTCATGTATACTTATCGCTTAAAGTTTTATAAATCATCTGTATTAATATATATATGTACTCAAACATCTTTCAGAGCTTCCTTATAGCAGATGTAAAGAATCAGTCGCTGTTGGTTTTGTCGACGGTTTTGAACACCTAGTTAAATTTGGTTCAGCTCACTTATCAGGCATGATTGGTTCACGTAAACGCTATAATGTCGCAGTGGCTGACGTAGGTCAATTTGCTACAGAGTGAGAACATGTAAATTAGAATTGAATAGAAGTTTCTTCATTAAAATTTGTAGGTATCATTCAATAGGCATTATTAATTATAATCCTAACATGTGTTTGCGTTCAATTTCATGATTCGTTAAATAAACATGGGCATCAGTTGATCGCGCATCATGGACTGACCCATGTGATGGTGGTTGCAATCTCTTCATTGTACCTAGTCTTAATAATATATTTCTGTAATAAAGTCGTTTGTGCTGAACGGTCATCAAGATACACACATTTCTTTGGTACGATGAATGGTAATCCATGTAAGGTGCTGACCGCGATTTGTGACTTCGAAGTTGGCTGTTGATCATATCATTCCAATCCAACTCGAGTACGCTCCCATTCATTCGACACAGGTTATTTACGTTATCCATCCACCCATTTAATGTAACTTACTCCCCATAACATACCACTTCTGTCCCTCGGGAAAGTATGTCTACGTAGCGATAAATAAATCTCCGAAGTAAATAGTTTTGTATGCCTTTAACATTGATGCTGACCTCATTAGTTCTAATAGACTCGTCCTAGTTGGAGGCACTAGGTCATGCATCCACACTAGGTCGCCACTGAATTTTCTATTATACACATGTACCAAGACGTTGTTAAACCTTGAATATCCGTAGCATCTGTAGTGGTCAGCCTAACGTGATCTGGTTCACCAAACGATGAAGTGTGAGTTTGTTCTGTACTGTAACATTGAAAGTCACTATTTATTCTTACGTATCGTGATATTATTTTTGTATTATCAGTCTTGTTATCTCCTGTTTATGTACCCTATCTACATTGAGTACAAAGAGACACCCAAACTATTTTTGACCGAAACTCTCTCCCCTCTACCCACCAAGTTTCAACCGACCAACAGAACTCTGAAATATCAAGAACAGGAGAAGCTTAATTCATTAGAAGTATTTTCTTTTATACTGCATCGATCTTGTGTCCCAAGAAAGTGGAATGTGCGATTTCATTCGTTTTATGTCCTTGATCTTCCTACTCATTAATATGCATGAGAGAACGTATCTCGATATAGGCTATGCCCTTGACACTATAGGCTAATTGCTTTAGCCTTCAAGCTAGAAATGCATTAATCCAAATTGAAGATAACGTCCTTGGGTAGAGAGAGGGAAGCTACTCCACCACCTGATTGGTTTACGAGCAAAATAGTAAGAGAGAGAGGACTAGTAAACTGGAAGATCACTGGATTTACCCTCGATTCAGATCGGTGTCGAAAGATACATGGATCAATAGATGACTAACGGGACCACAACACAAACAACTAGGAAAATATAATTATATCCAAACTGGGCATCCGAGTAGGAAAACAGAGTACCAGAGGTAACGTTTATATTACAATAGCTTTGGAACAGTAAAGTGAATTTCAGTTGGTCACGTATCAAACGAAAGCTTATGGTTTATAGAATAAATTAGGGACAAAACTAAACTTTAGTGTTTTATAAGCTTTGAATTAAGTGGAATAACGTCTCTAAATATAGCTTCCGTTGTTTGTCATGACTTTTTTTCGCTGTTCACGCCAATTCATAGTTCCTTAAATTTTAAGGGATATAAGCTGCTGATCAGCTAAATGTATTGAAATCCAAACTCAATACATTTAGCTCTAATAAACCAACAGTAGACTGGAGAAATCTGCAAACAGAAATATAAAGAACTCTCGAATATAATCCAGCTGACGAGGTCACTTCATGTGCCCTGGTGCAACGTATTATAGCAGTAAATAAATCCCCAGAATAAATAGCTCTGTAAACCTTCAACATTAGTTTTAATGGACTAACCTTGCTGAGGGCTCTCAATCATGCATCCGCACCAGATTACGAGTGGGAAAGCCACGCTACTCACCCCTTTCATCTATTAGCCAGATTAGGCTAAATGTTTCTCGACATGCCGGTAGCCTTTCAAATATATAATCGAACTCTTTC